AGCATGTAAATGGAAATTATCGCGACCGAAAAAATTATCGAGCTCATTTTATTTGCGATTAATTGATTTATCGCATATCGCGACAGGCCTAGCTCCATCTTGTGAAAGCCTTGTAATATAAATCAGATTTACTTTCTCTTGACTTCCACTATAGAGCCTGTGGTTTTTACTGTCGATAATAATGCAGTAGTGTTGAGTAGAAGGGCTATTTCAAGCCCCCATGGTTAATCCATAAACAATTTTGCATGACTCATAGTTTGCGTACAAGCTTGGATGGGTGGAAGTTAAATAGTTGTGTTAGAAAATATCTAGTTCTTTGATTTAAAAAGTGATTTCTGTATGGAAACGTGTAATTATAGAAGATAGAATTCTGTTACCGGTGTTGCTGCAGGTGAGTGGATCTTAAGAGCCGGGTTAATACTAGAAAATCAAGTGTTTACAGTTTTTCTGAGGCCACACTGGAAGGCGGGTGAAAAACCAGCTGTCATAAAGAAGAGGAGATGCGAGATTGTTTAAATGGATAAAAAAACAAGAGCTTTACAGAGAAGTCAAAATCATTGCTCCTTTCTCACCTCCGCACAGCTGACCAATCACAGCAGATCGTCCACTTCGGAAAGTTAAAAAATCAGACTTCGGAAAAGTTTGTGGGGAAGGGGGTTTTGCGAAGCTATTCGACTGTCCAACAGTTTGGATTTATACTCTTGAGAAAACTGATAATACAATGTGCAGCTCAATTGAATTCATTTTCAGATCTTGGGTAAATGATCAGCTAAGGCAATGTTTTTTCCTGCCATCTGCCAGGAAAATGATTTCACCATTTCTTATGTAGTAATTAAAACTTGTTGGTAATAACTGAAACCTTTAGTTTTGTTAAATTATTCAGGAGATTCCTGTGTTTACATGTTGAGTAATATTGACAATATTTGAAGAAAATGTTTAAATGGTAATTCAGAGTGGGGGAAAAAATACTGGTGCTATCCTACGATTAATACGATTACCAAAATGAGATGTTTTTTGATTTCCTTAGATTTTAGACTAAGAATCTGACCAAGCCTGATGCTATGCACACATTCTTAAAAGTAAAACAACTGTGTCTCCTCAGTGCATTGCAATGAGTTGACCAGTACAAACAAACTGACAAGTTTCCGAAAAGGGAGGACATTTTTCCAATTATTCAGCTGCACATCAATGCAGCATTGTGCCGACATTCTTATCAGTCAACACTTTTTACTGCAAACGTATACTGCAAAAACCATCTACAGTATTTTATTTAGCCATGGATGGATTGTATACACCATTATTGTCTCCTGTTTTCATGTATTTTTAACGTTTTTGCTTGGCAGCTACAGCTGATGATATTGTGTCTGAATTAATCTGTTGTCATGACACTTGTCTTTTTCAGGGATCGAAGTTGGAGCCCAGCTTGATGCGATGCTGTCACACCTCCTGTGAGAGCCGCCCCATTGACTACACTGTCAACATCAGCAACAAACTGCTACTTGACATCCGTCGCCATGTCAAAAAATACTACTCTGTGAGTACTTCTGTTTGTATGCCAGTTTGCTAGTGTGAGTGAGGCTTCTATAAATAATACTGATCCATCCAATAAAACTGCTTTACACACACTCAAAAACACAAGCACACACAAATGTGTGTGTTTTCTTCTTCACCACCTGCAGGGCCACAAATGGACTTCATTTAGTTTTCCTTCAGTGTCTAATGCTGTAACTTGTTAAAATAGCACAGCTGGCCAGCTGACGAGTCTCTCCTCTCCTGTTTTTTACCTCTTTTTTAAACCATTTTCTCCACAGTTTGCAGTTAGTTCACCACTACAAATGTCTTTAGAACGTGTGTTTCATTTGATCAAACATATACACTAAATTTAAATCCATCATCCACAGGTGCTATATTTAAGCTCTGTGTTTGTGGTCGCATATGACTGTCTATTAACACATTGCTAAAGAAATTAAATTAATGCTTCAGCTGACAAAATACAAGCTCAAGTGGACAGAAACTGAGCTGTATGTAATAAAATAGTCAAAACTTGTAAAAACTGACCTCCCACAAAGTGTGTGTAATAGTGTTGGACTGTGTTTAACACAATGTGGGATGCAGCTGATGCAGTAATGGTAAGAGAAGCCATCAAAAAGATGCTGGACGAGAGATTAAGGAAACCTCAGCAGGGCCACTGCGCTGACATTTTCAACCAAAGAGCACATTATGCTTGCAAAATGAAAAGAGCACCAGAAAGATTTGAAGGAGCATGATCCATGAAAATACATAAATGGCCATTCTTACTTTGAGTACCAAGTTTAACATTCAAGTCTTTGTCAGTTTTAGATGTTAAGGTGAAATTTAAATGATACATCTGGAAAAACTGGGTAATTGGAGAAACTAAAAATACAACAAATCAAACATATTTGACTTGAGCACATTTGTCTCAGTAACCCAGGGCAACTATTGGCTTGAAATAATAGTTATGATTTTGGATTTGAAGCTTTAAAGAGTAAATTATTTTTGCAGTTAGACACTCAAGGACAGGTAGTACTCTACAGGTAGTGACATTTTTAGATCTACAGACAGAAGAGCATAAGACCATAAATATAACCACATCAAATACATACTGCTACTTAATTTAGAAGTTAGAAAGGCATCTTGTAAACTTTGTGAATGTATCTCAGTATTTGAGAAGTTGTGGCTTAGTAGCACACTTTATCCCAGTGAGATGTTGGACTAACTAACTGCGTAACCCTGTAACAGTAGTGCACTGCACAGGCCGCCAACAAACCAGTTTACTGATCATCCATCTATCCCCAACAGTCTTCTGTGACCTCCTACAAACTGTCCAGACATTGTTGTGCACTTTGTAATGGCACACAGGATTTCCAATCAGAGCCAGAGCTGTTGTAGTTGTATTGTACACTGCAGATATGATACATATTGTGTTTTGAGGTAGGTCAGTATCTGATGGGCTAAATCAATAGCCACACTTCATAAATGTGTGACGTTTGCTGTGTGAAGTAGAAGCTCTGTTTCCCTGAGTGTTTGCTTTTATTTAATGTAATAATTCCTCTGATATGAAACACTGTAAGAAACCCTAGACATTAGCTAGTTTTCCAGCCAAATGTACTATAAATTTGAACTAAATTT